CTGCACCTACCCTCTTGGTGACAATGTTGCCCTTTTCATCCGTGAATTGTTCCTCTGTCACCTGCTCGCCTGGAATATTCTGAAGCTCGTTCCCCTGGAGTTAGAGAAAGGAAGAAAAACTGAGGTTGATCAGTGGTAGTTTGGGAATAAGAGGGAGAGGAAGTAAAATAGCAGGAGTGGCAGTAGCAGCAATGGCCTCAGTCCAATAAATCCCCGCCATCACAGGGAACTCCAACTCAGCAAGGAGCGGCAGCCAAGCCAACGGTTCACTGAGCGTCAGAGGCGCCTGAAGACAGGATGGAGCCTAGAGCTTGCGGGAGCTTTGTGCTCTCCATCCTCACAAGAGCCCGGAGGAGTGGGCAAAACTGGGACTACCGTACACGATTTACAGAGGAGGACCTGAGAGAGGAAAGGAGGCACCTAATTTATGTTTCTATAGCACTTTACAGCTTAGAAAGCCCTCCCACATACACGGTTGCCCTGCATGTGACTGGCCTGCCATCCCGAAGCTGCAAGACAAGCACAGGACTCCTAACTCCCAGAACCAGCTTTCTCTGTCGTCATATGGTGCTGGGGGAGCTGAGCGCTGAACACAGCTCTGGCTCTCTGTGCAGGACCCGATCCACCAAGGCCTTTCCACTCCTTCTCATCCAACATGTGTCCTGACTTGGAGTCTAGCACTTTCCTCCACTCTTCCCCACGCCCAGCACAGCACTCTTCCCTCTCTGCGGCCCCCCGGCAGCTCCGCCTCTAGCCTAGTCCTGCCGCCTGCCTTGCGTTTACCTTCAAGAAGACCCGACGCCGGACCACCCTGGTGGAGATGGTCTCCTCGTCGTCACTCAGGCCCTCACTCTCCCCCAGCTCCTTGTCCAGCTCCTGGTGGATGTGCTTCAGCACAAAGCTCAGGGAGCCTTTGACAATGTGCATCACGTTCTGACAGCTGACCAGGAAAAAGCCCAGGAGCACTAGTGTGACCAGGAGCTGGATGATGAAAGTCCACATCCTCACCTCCTCCTCACCAGCCTGGCCCCCCGCTGGCCTGCGGTGCCCGGGGCCCAGCTGCTGCAGAAGTCCAGCCTCTCATTCTCCTCTGGGACTCCTGACTTCCCCGGCGGCCCCATCCATATTCTCTCTCTCTCTCTCTCTTTCTCTCTCGTTTTCTCTCTCCGTCTCTCACTCTTTCTCCAGGAACAGGAGACCCAGTGGCCCCACGACTAGAATAGCCTGTTCCGAGTGCCCCTCCTGCTGAGCAGCCCTAGGCTTTGCCCTCAAGCCTGGGTGACGTCAGGCTTCTATAATTTCAGCTCCCAAAACCAGCTGCTGGAGCTGTCCAACTGGGCAAGAAGGAAGCTGGCAGGTGTGTTTGTCCTCAGCACTGAGAGCGCATGTCAAAGTCACCGCGCGAGTGACACCCTGCCGCTTCCCCGCCCCACCCAGAGAATGCTCGAAGAGGGTCTCATCCTCATGCCTTGCTTGCCTGCCTGCCTGCTGAGGCGTCCTTATGGGGACCTAGACGGCAGTGCTGCCAGGGAGTGAGTTCTTCCCAGGGAAATGTTCTCACCCAGGGATGTGAGGGGGAAAAAAAGATCCAAGAATGTGTCTACTTGTGTATTTCTTTGGGGCTACTATTGCTGTGATCAGTATGATGCTCACCCCCACCCTTAGGGATGGGACTAGCTAATGCCCTGGAGAGTTAAGGCTTTAATTAAAGAACAGCCCCAAGAGTGAGTGATTTACTCAGGCCCAGTCAAATGAGCACAGCAGGGATCCAGCGAAGGTGGTGTGGCCACCCAGAAGCCCGTTGGTAAGTCCTGGAAGCGAAACTTCCCATCAGCCCCGCAGGCCCTCAGTCTCTTCCTTTGCTGGGCACGGAAGCCCTGACCTTAGGCATAGAACTGGCGTGTCCATTTAAGGCCTGTCCTTAAAGGCTCTTCCCATCCTAGGCTATCAACGCCCACTGAGCAGGAACCACGCGAATTAACTTGCTTTCACAGAGCTGATTCACAAATGCAGCAGCAGCAGCTGTGGCTGGAAGGAATTTCACTTTCTGGATCTGGCTGTCCTTTTTTGTCCTTCTTTGATTCTCAGCCCAGCACAGTGGGACACAGCATGCTGACCTGCCACTAACTTATGCTGGGGTCTTAGGAAAGCTGGGTACCTTCTCTGTGCCTCAATTTCCTCATCCGTAAAACAGGGGTTCTAGTTCTCTCTCTACTACTTTTCAGGATTGCTGTGACGATCACACGGTTTATGATTACTGCTATCGTGAATAGCGGAGTCCCTGGGTGGCACAAATGGTTAAGTGCTCGGCTACTCTTCGAGAGCTGGCAATCTGCTTCCCAGCAATCTGCTTCTGAAAGGTCACAGCCACGCAAACCTTGTGGAGCGGTTCTACTCTGCGCACATGGGGCC